CCGGCGCACCCGCTCCGGGAGGAGGGCGGCGGGCGCGCGCAAAACCCGGCCTGGAGTCGCCGCCCGGGACTGGCCGCAGCAGCTTGCCTGGGCGCACAGGGAGCCGGCCCGAAAACCTGGGATGGATTTTCCTTCCCTTCGCCTTCTTTCGCACCCCCCGGGAAAGAGGAGAGAGGGAAGGCGACGCGCTGGATCCCTGCGTTGGAACGGGGAGTGGGGGAAGGGATACAGGCATAAGAAGACCCGGAGCGGATTTTCCAGCGGGAAAGGCGAGGATCCCGGTGAGGGGGGAAATAGGGAGATTTGGAAGGGTTATGCAAAACCCGGGTTGGATTACACAGAGACCGGAGGAACGGGGTCCTGGCAGCTGCGACAGGAGCAAATGCACCCAGGACACGCAAATTTCGGGCCGGATTCTTCCTCGGGAGACGGAGGAATGCGTCAGGCCTAATGCAGTGGGGACAAGCAAGACCCGGCCTAGAATTCCCTGGGATCTGGGCTCGCACGGGGAGAGGGGGCTGCTTAATGGCCGAGGCGGCGTGGGCTGCCCCCCCATCTTCCTGGCAGCGGCGTGCAAGGGGGAGGGTCAGAAGGAAGGCCGGCCTCGGGTACGAAGGGATCCGGCGCGCTGGCTTGCACCGGAGCGGGCAGGTAAAAGCGGTTTCTGGATCCAGGAGCGATGCGAAGGGAACGCGTAAGGGAGGCCGCTACCCTGGGAGACCAGACTTACAATAAAAGGCGACGGAGGGACGCAAAGCCAGGCCTGGAGCACGCGGGACGGGATGAAGATCCCGGGCAACTGGACAGGGGCTTGGAATTGATAGGGCAGCAGGGGCGGAGGGGAGTGTTAGGGGGAAGTTAGTATCTATAACCCCCTCAAAAGCTTTGCTTTGGGCAGGCGGATGCGGGGAGAGAGAAAAAAAGTGAATTTTAGGTTTTTAGCAAGAGCAAAAACGCGGTACGGATCTTCACAACCTAGCAACTACACTGCAGCTGGTGGACTTAAAGAAGTAGGGCAGTGAACAGGATTGGGTTCCTAGGCATTGGGCCGAGTGAGGCGAGGGGCACGTTTCGGACTGAGGCTGCAGAGAGAGCCCCGCATCCCCTCTCCGGGGTGGGGAAGGCTGTCCGACCTGGCTTGGATCCCTACAGTCAGAGCTACGACTGCCAAGACCAACAGTGGGGGCTGTAAAACCAGGCCCGGGGCCCAAAATAGGCACTTCAGCAGAATAGAAGACTCAGTGCAGAGTGGGGGCTGGGGAGAAATGGGAGAGGGGCAGAATCCTGGAGGGGAGGAGAGTGAGGGGAGCCCCTGAGAGGTAAGATCCGGATAGGATATCCCAAGACCGGACCAGAGAAGTCAGGCTGCTGGCTCCATTATATGAAAAATGGGTGCCACTCTAAGACTGATGGCTGGGGAGGAGCAAAACACGGGCTTGGATGCTCTGGGAAAGAAGTCCATCCAAGTGAGGCCTAAATGTTAAAGCAGTCAGTTCTTGCAAAGTCTAAAGTTCGTCTGAATCTTAGCACACTAGGGAGCAGTGTGGCGAGTCGGTAGGGCAGACAAATCCTGATCTAGACTTCAGAGGAAGGGGGCATGCTGAGGATGGGGAGGGGGTTAAAAAAAACAAACAAACCCTTATCAGTGTCCAGAGGAGAGAATGCATCGCTACCCAACCTTGGCAGAATGGCTGAGGAAAGGGTTTCAGAGTAGGGGTGGGAGAGGTTGGGGTGGTAAATACGCAAAACTTGGGGAAGATTTGGATGAGTATCTAAGAAAGCCTGAATTGAATATTTGCAAGGGAATTAACCTGGCCTCTAAGAATCCCTTTGGAGAAAGAAGCATGTCCTGGTGGCTGAACTGGGGGAGGGGCAGGGACACCAGACTTCCAGGCTGGCCGAGTAGCCAGAGGCCACACCTGTGGCAACCTGCCACCCTCCACCACCTTCTAATGGACAGACTTCATTTCACGACTGGGCAGGGATTCTCACAGTCCAGAACCTGGGCCAAATCTGGCCCCAAAACTTCAGGGCAGAGGGGATAGGTGGGTCCCCTTCCTTCTCCCTTCACACCTAGGACTCCATGGCTGCAGAGATCTGGCCTTGCATATGGGTGACCAGGTCCGATAGTTGGATTTGGGGGACCAAACGGGTATGATGTGGAGGCTAATGGGTGCAGAAAGGATCTCATCCGTCTGGTTGACGTCTGATCTCTTGGATATGGGGATAAGGGGTCCCACCCCTCCCCCACTCAGTTTTCCACTTTGAGATATCTACAGCACCGAGCTAAGACCCATGAAGGCTTTGAGGTGCTGGGGAGTGGATGTAGTGCTTTGGGGGGCAACCTAGACACCCTCTCTCCACATCCAGGCAGCCAGCATTTCTGTAAACCGAGCAGGGTTGAAAGGGGAAGGGAACGTGGAGCCCAGGGAGAGCTGGGCATCTCCCGAGTCCTCTGGCTCCTCCCAGACCCCCACCCTGCAACCCTGATCAGCCTGCCCAGCCTCCCCGCTGCAGAGCGAGGCTAGGAGCCTAGGAGCGAGCCTGGGAGGTGGTTCTAAATTGCAATCTGCAGAGGCTGCGAGAAGAGACAGCCTTTACCTATATGAAGGGAAGCGGCGGCATTCTCTAAGAGACTCTGCCTGGCTCAGTTTGGAAAAATGCCGGCAGGGACCCCTCCTTCCAGACCCTCTGGTGATCAGCGGAGCGCCCCTGGTCGCGGCCGGGATTGGGTCGCCAGCCTCCATCCCATCCGCTTCTCCTGGACTCATGGGCAGAGGGTCTCACGAGGCAAAGCATGCGAAGGGGCTGGGGGCGCGAGAAGAGCCCGGCGCCCCCCAGGCCCTCGCCTGCGCAGCCGCAGTGGAGGCCGCGCCAGCAGCCGGGCTCCGGGAACCGACGCGTCCGCGCGCGCGCAGACTGGCCCGGGCGCTGCGTGGCCCGCGCTGCTCCGTCGGCACCCGCGCCCCTGACACCGTGCTCCCGGGGCGCTCCTCGCATCCTACTTTGCACCTTGGAACCACCAAGCCCGGCGTGTCCTATGCCTCTGACACTCCTCGATATGTCCCTCTCGTCGCACGTGCCTCCAACACTCATGGTGCCCCGCGCTTAGGGGACCCCCACGTTCTGTGAAACCTGCGCCTGGACACCCCACGTTCTGTGCACCCTGTGCCAGAGCACTCCCACGCCTGGAACACCCTATGTTCTGCTCCCACTGCGTCTCGGGGACCCCACATTCTGTGCTCCTAGCACCTCGGGCACCCCGACCTCAGACACAGCCCGGCTCACCTGTGGTTTCTGCCCCTACCTCGCGTGCTGTACCCACTGCCTCGGGCCCCATGCAAACCGTCCTGCTGGCTCAGCTTGTCCCCAATGCTCAGTTTCCCTTTGCCGAAGGTCTAGAGCCCTCGGGCCCGGGTGCCTTGCCTCAGGCTCCTTAGGCCCTGCCATGTAAGGCCAGGCCCTGCCACACGTCGAGGGCTGGCTGTGGTGGGGGTGGGGGGGAGATGAAACATTTTCCTGGACTCAGGGGGCGTCAGGGCAATGCCCAGACCTCCACTGCCCAGCAGGCGCCCCCCAGCCCAGCTTTTCCTAGAGCCAGCTCAGCACAGGACACACAACCCGGCCGTTCATTTAATCTCTCGATTCATGTGTTCATTTCTTCCATTTCCTCCTTAAACACAGAGCAGCCCTTACGCATGCCTACCTGCTGAGAACGGTGTGTGGTTTCGAGGATGGCCTAGTGCACGGGGAACAAGAAGGGAGCTATCTCAGGGGCACCCCCTTTACGGTCAGTAGAAAGACACAGGACACGTGGTGGGTTAGCCCTGGAAAGTGAGAAAGGTGCCAGCAGAGTGTATGGTGGACTTGCCAAGCCTTGAGGGGTGGGTAGGGTTTGTGTGCCCATAGCTTTCCTAGAGGCTCCCTCTACCCCCTCCTTGGGTGATTTCTGAGCCCTATCCAGCTTCACCTCCACCCCCCACCCTAGTGACTAACAAGATAAAAAGGTCCAGAATTGGGCTGGGAAGGTAGGGTGGGGGTAGGATTAATCCCAACTACTGTCTTGGGCGGGGAGAGGGCATTCAGTCAGCCAACAAACATTTATTGAGCACTGACTGTGTGCCAGGCACTGTGCTAGGTGCTGGGGACACAGCAGTGAACAAAGTGTCTGTCCTCAGGGGCTGACATTCTAACTGGGAAAACAGACAAGAGATTGGACAAATAAATAAAAGATTCAGGATGTCAGATGACAATAAGTGCTACGGAATAAAATTAAGGAAGCAAGGCAGGGGGCGTGGTGGTGGCTTCAATTTTAGATAGGGGAGGTCTCCTTGTGAAGGTGGCATTTGAGCAAAGACCTGAGCATGTGAGGGAGGTGTGATGGGGGATGTGTGGAAGGGCATTCTAGTCGGAGGGAACAGCCTGTGCAAAGGCCCCGAGGTGAGACCATTTGTATGTCATTGAGGGCCTGTGTGGGTGGAGGGAATGAGTGAGGGGGAGACAGGGAGGAGGTGAGGGTAGGGAGGTGATGGAGCAGATTGAAAAAAATAGACCAAGTCATTCCTCCTGGAGTTTACACTTTATCAGGGAGGCTATGATTACTAGTAACAAGTAAAGAAGATAACTTCAGAGAGTGATCAGTGCTATGAATGAGTTGTGAGGCAGAGTGTGGGTGAGTGTGATTTAGGCTAAGGTGGCTGGGGAGGGTCTCTCTGAGGAGGGGACATTTGAGCTGAGACCCGAAAGCTGAGAAGAAGTCCATCGTGTGAGATCAGCAAGTGCAAAGGCCCTGTGGTTGGAACAGGCAGGACTATTTGAAGAGCCCCCCATGCACAGCTTGGGAGGCCACAGGAAGGGTTTAAATTGTATTCCTAGTGACAGTAGGAGTTTCAAGAGGGCTTCGAACAGGGGGATGACATGATCTTATTGGCATGTTTAAAAGATTATAGGGGTGGTTCCTCAGTTCCTCAGTAAGTACAACATAGAACTACTATATGATCCAGCAATTCTGCTCCTAAGTATAATCAAAAGAATTGAACACAGGTGTTAGTCCATTTCTGTTGCTTATAACAAAATACCTGGAACTAGGTGATTCATAAGCAAATGAAATTTATTGCTTACAGTTTCTGAGGCTGGGAAGTCCAAAGTCCATCTCGGAGTGGTGACAGTGACCCAGGGGTCTCACATTGCAAGATGGTGGAAGCAGAGAGAGCAGAGAGAGAGACAGACTCTCTTCTCTCTCCTTTTAAAGCCCTCAGAATCATGCCTCTGACCACCGATTTTAATCCCTTCAGTATGGCATGGTCCTACAATCCAATCACCTCTTCAAGGCCCCACCTTTCAATTACCATAATAGGATTTCCCACTCTCTTAACAGTCACAGTGGGGCCAAGTTTCTAGTACATAAAACTTGGGGGACACAATTCAAGCTTCAATGAGTTTAGGGGGACATAATACAGTGCACTACAACAGGTGTTCAAACAGATAGTTGTACGTGAATGTTGGTGGCAGCACTATTCACAATAGCCAAATGGTGGAAACAACCCAAATGTGTGTCATTGGAGGAACAGATAAACAAAATGTAGTATCTCCATATAATGGAATATAATTCAGCCATTAAAAGGGAAGAAGTCCTAATACACACTACAACATGGATGAACCTTGAAAACATAATGCTCGGTGGAAGAAGCCAGACACAAGAGGTCACATAGTTTATGATTCCATTTATATGAAATGTTCAAAGTAGGTAAATTCATAGAGACAGACATCAGATGGGTGGTTGCCAGGGACTGAGGGAAAGGGGTGACTCTAATGAGTGCAGGGTTTTCTTTTGGGGTGATGAAAATCTCTTGGAACTAGACATAGTGAATGTACTAAACACCATGAATTGCCCACTTTAAAATGTTTAGTGGTTAATTTTATGTTGTGGGAATTTTACTTCAATTAAAAAAAAATTATAGGGGTGATTTGAGAGGGAGGCTAGGAAAGTGGTTACCACTGTCACCCAGGTGAGAGGTGATGGAGGCCTGGAACAAGATGCTAGGGAGAAGTGGGTGGGTTTAGGGCATATCTTAGTGGCACATCAACAGGACTCCTTAACGTTTGCAATCCCCTGGGACTCTGCTCAGATGTAAGTTACCTTGTCCACTCTATTGAAAATTGCAAACACCCCACCCTCTTCTTTCACTAGCTCCTTCTCCCCTTTATCTCCCCACTACCAGTAGTATATCCTTACCTACTTCTGTTTTCATTGTTTTGTCTGTCTTCCCCTTAGAATATCAACCCTTGACCTTGGACGCTCTAACCAAGTGAGAAACCGGCCAGCCCAGGCCGGGGAGGTTTATTTCTTGTTCACTACTGTATGCCCAGAACCTAGAACCGCTCCAGGCACACAGTGGGCGCTCAGGAGAAAGTGGGGGAGTGGAGGGAAGCGAGGGTCCAGGAAGCCGCCGGGTTCCAGTCTGAGCAGCAGACGGGCGTGAACGGCGGTGGGTTCCCAGTGAGGCACCGCCTGGTGGATGGGGGCCCGGTCGAGCTGCGCTTCTCCCCCCGGCCGCTAGGGGCCGCTGCCTCGCTGCTGTGCGGCCGCCAGGTGAGGAGGCCCCGCCCCTTCTCCCCAGGTGCGCGGGAGGCGGGGCCGCCCGGGCGGGAGGAGAGAGAGGGGTGAAGAGCGTAGAGCTGGGGAAAAAGTTGGGGTGTAAGGGGACGAGTTGGGGGTGAAGGCAGAGGGCTGAGCGTGTCTGAGGTGGGGGCTACTGAGAAGGAGGGAAAAATGCTGGGGGAGGCTGGAGGTGTGAGAAGGTGGGGAGGATAGGAGACAACCAGTGTTTGGGAGAGAGGGGGTGTGAGGAGCGGAGAGTTGGGGCTTTGGGGAGAGAGGAGTTGGGAGGTAACCACCGAGTGCATAGGGCAAAGTTGGGGGTGGGAAGACAGGTGAGCAGGTAGGAGGTGGGAGAGCCACAAGGGGAAGAGGTTGCCTTGGGCACTTTGAGTGGAGGAGATTTGAACAGTGCATGGGGAGGGCTGGGGGGTGAGGCCAGCCCGTGGGGGTGAGGACCCCAGGGAGGGAGCCCCGAACGTTGTCAGACTTGTTCCATGTCAGTGTGAGGGTTGGGGGTGGCTTCTCAGGCCCTGACCCCTTGAGCCAACATCGGGGAAGGAACTTCTGAGGAGTGAGCCGTGCCTGCCAAGCTCCTCCCGGGAGCCCAGCGAGCTTCTGCAGAGGTGTGGCCGGGAAAGCGGTTTATTCAACCTGGCATTGGGCTCTCCCTGTCCCACAGCGAATGGCCGGGATTCACTGTGAATGAGCTGGAGCTGAGGGGACACCAATGAATGAGCCAAGTGTGGAAAACAGGTCAGGGATGGGGAAGGGTACAGCTGGAAGGCCTTCCCCGGCCAGGGAGCTCAGAGGAACCTAACTTGGAGAAGGTGACAGGTAAACTGAGAGCAAGGATCCACCGACTAAAGATAGAAAGCTCCAGAGGTCTGGGCAGAGAGGATCAAGAATAGGGAGATCCTGAGGATGTTGCCAAGAAGTATCCAGGCTGCAATAGGGCAACAGGGAGTGGTGGGGCCTGAGGCAACCTGGAAATGCCCGCCAGATCTAAAGGGACCCTGCATTTGGGGTCAAGGTGGATATGGAGGCTTCAGGCTCTGTTGGATAGGAAGAGATTGGGAAAGGGATTGGGAAGGGACATGAAGGGACATGCGTGGGTCCCATGGAGGTCAAGGCCATGGCCACAGGAAGGTAAAAGGTGATTTCCAACCTTGCATAGGCCCAATTCATGGGTTGCAAAGCCGAATGTTGACCAGATAATGAAGATGTAGAAACAGGGCAGGTGTGAGGCAGTGGGGAGGCAGGGAGGGAGGGTGGCATTGGTGGAGAGCTGAAGTCGCACCCCCCCTTTAAGCTGACAGCCACTTGCTATGGCTCAACTCCAGCTGAGTGCTACCACGTGGGAACTCAGCCTCACCAGAATGGATCCTTCCAGAGAAGCCAGAAATCAGGGTTGCTGTGCAAAGTTTCCAGAGCTTTAAACATCACACAGGGCCCTACTAAAGTTAAATTGCTACAACCCAGCAATTCCATTACTGGGTCGATTCTTAGTGGACATGGGAGCTTATGTCCACCAAAGACACATACACAAATGTGCAGCAGCTTATTAATAAATGTCAGACACTGGATACCACCCAAGTGGCAAATAGATGCTAATGTGGTGCTTGCAGGAAAGGGCATTCTCTGCAAGTGTGGGGGCCAGTGGGGGTGCTCACCCCAGTTCTTCACCCCAGCATCGACTAGCAAATGGGAAATAAGTTGGAGTATATCCATACAATGGAATACAATGCAGCAAAGAAAAAGAACAATCTTCTAGCACATGCACAGCACAGCTGAATCTCAGAGACACAATGTTGGACAAAAGAAACAAGATATGAAGAGAAGACATTACATGATTACACGATTTCATTCCTGTGATGTTCAAGGACAGGCACAAGTAATCTATGGAGACAGTCAGGTGAGCGCAGGGTTTCCTGACCCCATCACTGTTAATGTTTGGGACTGGATGATTCTTTGCTGTGGGGGCCTGTCCTGTGCCTTGTATCATCCTTAGTCTCTACCTGGTAGAGGCCAGTAGCACAGCCCCAGTTGCAACAGATGTCCCTGGAGGGAGGAGTATAATCACCATCAGATGAGAACCACTGGGACATCAATATTTTGGAATGGAACACTCACTGGAAAGGAGCACTAGGGAGCCTTCTGGGAGACTGGAATATTCTGTATCTTTAGCTAGGTGGTGGTGACAAGGATGAAATATATCTAAAAAATGCACAGAGCTGTACTCTTAAGATTTATGTGCCTCACAATAAAAGAGTTAGCCCTACAAAGTGATGACCCTTGAAAATATGAGGCTGAGTGAAATAAGCCAGACACAAAAGGCCACATAGTGTATGATTCCATCTATATGAATTGCCCAGGACAGGCAAATGCATAGAGACAGAAAGCAGATTAGTGGTTGCCAGGGGTGGGGGAGGGAGAAAGGGGGGAGTGATTGCTAATGGGGATGGGATTTTCTTTTGGGGGGATGGAAATGTTCTGGAACTAGTGCTGATAGTTGCACAACTCTTGAATATACAAAACCTCACCGAATTGTCTACAATGGTTCATTTTATGCGAATATCACCGCTAAAAGATATCTTTTAGCGCTGGCCAGTTAGGTCAGTTGGTTAGAATGTGGTGTTATAACACCAAGGTCAAGGGTTCTGATCCTGTTCCAGCAAGCTACCAAAAAAAAATTTTTTTTTTAAAAAAGGGAGTTAATCCACACAGGCCAGATAAAATACATCCACATCTGCTCAGCACCTGG